CACACACACACACACACACACACAGGGGCAGAAAATAGCGCGCGCTCCGCGCCGCTGCGTGGCACTTGGCCAGCCCAGGCGCAGGGATATCGGAAGCGCCTTGCAAGGCCGGGTGCTGCTCAGAACCCGGGCGGCAGAGCAGGGCTGCTAGAAAGCACAAATGAATTCCCCGAGCTTTGATCGGTGCACTCACAGCTCGAAACCAGGTCCCCAGATCGGTGCATCTGCTCCGTACCAATTGCGTGGTTGTGCATTCGGGGAGGGGAGAGGCACGTCCAACGCATCTGCACGTCTATAGGCTCTGCCAGCCACAGCCCTAGCATGAATCCCTCCGCTTTTAGGGCCCACCCCGCCCCCTGTTCCGACCGCCTCGCTCCTCTCCGCGCGGACCCCCGGACCCTGCTGCCTACATGTCACATCCCATCCACTTTTTAGATGTCCTCCTGTCAGTCTCGCTGGGAGTCTCTTCATGAGGTAATCCCTGCCAATTAGCGACCCGAGTGCAACTTTTTCCCCTTCTTGGTGATTTCTTTCCGTGATCAGTATCTGGGAAAATACCTTAAAGGAAAAAGAATGTTAGCATCATTGGAAATCCCGCTCCTAGGAGAGGATACCGCAGGTGTTGCTGTTATGGTTTCACAGTTGCTGATGCAAACAGGGGAACCTCCGAATTCCCTCCCCATTACCTGCGGCTGGGGACAGGGAACTTTCCGCGGTAGAGTCCCCAGCCGGCGCCTCGGGACCTGCGGGCAGTTCGCGCTCGCACACTCACACTCACCCGGGCAGCGGGCCGCGGGTTTTGTCCCGCCCCGCCCGGTTGCCGCGTGACGTCTCTGTTTGACGGCCGGTTTATCCAATGAACACTTGGTCAGTGGGTGGTGCTCCTCGGCGATTGGTTGGCAGAATGAGGGAGCTGCGCAAAAACAGAGGAGCCGAGCGCTCGGAGCTCAGAAACTGCCAGCCAAGATCGCAGGCTCAGAGGCTGAAGCGGGAGGAATGAAGGACTAAAAGGAAAAGAGACAGGTTAGAGGGAAAGAGGCTCGGGTAGGAAAGAGCAGGAAAGAGACTGCCCGCTACACTCCCAGGGAGGCAACTACCGCTGGAGATGAGGACAGAGAGAGACAAGACCGCGAAAGCCAAAAACTACAAATAGAGCTAAAGAAGACGAAGAAAAAAAAAAATGTCAAGAACATTCAACCGGAGAAATGAAGAGAATGAAAGTTTTATGCTGCAGAGCTGTTCCTTGTTTTTCCGGCACAATATTCTCTCGCTGTTCGTAAGCCCTCTCGCGTTTGCCAGCCGTTGACATTAAGAGGCATGTTCAGCGGTGCCAGCTGCATCTCCTCTTCCTTCTCCTCTTCCTCTTCATCTTCCTCCTCCTTCTTTCCCTCCTCCTCATTCTCCTCCCATCAGCAAGCAGACACACCGAGGACAGTCTTGAAATATCGAAATTTCCTCCTTGGGATTTGCCAGCGCCGCGTTGCGCCAAGACTGTCGGAATAAAGGACGCTGACTATTGTATTATCATTATTTTATTAATTGGTCAGAGGGAAGATTACAGATGAGGGAAGGGGACATCTGTCACCCTTCCTGAGCTAAGATTGAAAAATGAGGCTGGATTGGAGGAGGCTCTAAAATGAAGCAAGAAGAATAAGATTTTTAAAGACAGAAAGCTCAGGAGCCCCCCCCCCGCAGTACACTTTTATTTGTATTTTTTTAGATTTTTTTTGGTGTTAGTGGGGGAGGTGATTGGGTGGCTGACTGGCTGAAGGAAGCGGCTTCCTTTCCTTTTGGAGATGATTGTGCTATTATTCTTTGCCTTGCTCTGGATGGTGGAAGGAGTCTTTTCCCAGCTTCACTACACAGTGCAGGAGGAGCAGGAACATGGCACTTTCGTGGGGAATATCGCTGAAGATCTGGGCTTGGACATTACAAAACTTTCAGCTCGCAGGTTTCAGACGGTGCCCAACTCACGGACCCCTTACTTGGACCTCAACCTGGAAACCGGGGTGCTGTACGTGAACGAGAAGATCGACCGCGAGCAAATCTGCAAGCAGAGCCCCTCCTGTGTCCTGCACCTAGAAGTCTTCCTGGAGAACCCCCTGGAGCTGTTTAGGGTGGAGATTGAGGTGCTGGACATAAATGACAACCCCCCTTCCTTCCCGGAGCCGGACCTGACGGTGGAAATCTCTGAGAGCGCCACGCCAGGTACCCGCTTCCCTTTGGAGAGCGCGTTCGACCCAGACGTGGGTACCAACTCCTTGCGCGACTACGAGATCACCCCCAACAGCTACTTCTCCCTGGACGTACAGACCCAGGGGGATGGCAACCGATTCGCCGAGCTGGTGCTGGAGAAGCCGCTGGACCGAGAACAGCAAGCGGTGCACCGCTACGTGCTGACCGCGGTGGACGGGGGAGGCGGGGGAGGCGCCGGCGAAGGCGGGGGCGGCGGCGGGGGAGCGGGCCTGCCCCCCCAGCAACAGCGCACGGGCACGGCCCTACTCACCATCCGAGTGCTGGACTCCAACGACAACGTGCCGGCTTTTGACCAACCCGTCTATACTGTGTCCCTCCCCGAGAACTCGCCCCCGGGCACGTTAGTGATCCAGCTCAACGCCACGGACCCGGACGAGGGCCAGAACGGCGAGGTCGTGTACTCCTTCAGCAGCCACATTTCGCCCCGGGCTCGGGAGCTCTTCGGACTCTCGCCGCGCACCGGGCGGCTGGAGGTGAGCGGGGAGCTGGACTATGAAGAGAGCCCGGTGTACCAGGTGTACGTGCAAGCCAAGGACCTGGGCCCCAACGCTGTGCCTGCGCACTGCAAGGTGCTGGTGCGAGTGCTGGATGCTAACGACAACGCGCCGGAGATCAGCTTCAGCACGGTGAAGGAGGCGGTGAGCGAGGGCGCGGCGCCGGGCACCGTGGTGGCTCTGTTCAGCGTGACCGACCGAGACTCGGAGGAGAATGGGCAGGTGCAGTGCGAGCTGCTGGGGGACGTGCCCTTCCGCCTCAAGTCTTCCTTCAAGAACTACTACACCATCGTGACCGAGGCCCCCCTGGACCGAGAGGCTGGGGACTCCTACACCCTGACCGTGGTGGCCCGGGACCGGGGCGAGCCATCGCTCTCCACCAGTAAGTCCATCCAGGTGCAAGTGTCAGATGTGAACGACAACGCGCCGCGCTTCAGCCAGCCGGTCTACGACGTGTATGTGACCGAAAACAACGTGCCAGGCGCCTACATCTACGCGGTGAGCGCCACCGACCGCGACGAGGGGGCCAACGCCAAGATAGAATACTCTATACTCGAGTGCCAGATCCAGGGCATGAGCGTTTTCACCTACGTGTCCATCAACTCTGAGAATGGCTACTTGTACGCCCTGCGATCCTTCGACTACGAGCAGCTCAAGGACTTCAGCTTTCAGGTGGAAGCCCGGGACGCCGGCAGCCCCCAGGCGCTGGCGGGCAACGCCACCGTGAACATCCTCATCGTGGATCAGAACGACAACGCCCCTGCCATCGTGGCGCCCTTGCCCGGGCGCAATGGGACTCCAGCCCGCGAGGTGCTGCCCCGCTCTGCGGAGCCGGGTTACCTGCTCACTCGCGTGGCCGCAATGGATGCGGACGACGGCGAGAACGCCCGGCTCACCTACAGCATCGTGAGGGGCAACGAAATGAACCTCTTCCGCATGGACTGGCGCACGGGCGAGCTCCGCACGGCTCGCCGGGTTCCAGCCAAGCGCGACCCCCAGCGGCCTTACGAGCTGGTGATCGAGGTGCGCGACCACGGGCAGCCGCCCCTGTCCTCCACCGCCACTCTGCTGGTCCAGCTAGTGGATGGCGCCGTGGAGCCCCAGGGCGGGGGCGGGGGCGGAGGCGGAGGGTCAGGGGAGCACCAGCGCCCCAGCCGCTCTGGCGGCGGGGAAACCTCGCTGGACCTCACTCTCATCCTCATCATAGCGCTGGGCTCGGTGTCCTTCATCTTCCTGCTGGCCATGATCGTGCTGGCTGTGCGCTGCCAAAAAGAGAAAAAGCTCAACATCTACACGTGTCTCACCAGCGACTGCTGCCTCTGCTGTTGCTGCTGTGGCGGTGGGGGGTCGACCTGCTGTGGCCGCCAAGCCCGGGCGCGCAAGAAGAAGCTCAGCAAATCGGACATTATGCTGGTGCAGAGCTCCAACGTCCCGAGCAACACGGCCCAGGTGCCCGTGGAGGAGTCCGGGGGCTTTGGCTCTCACCACCACAACCAGAATTACTGCTACCAGGTCTGCCTGACCCCAGAGTCCGCTAAGACCGATCTGATGTTCCTTAAGCCCTGCAGCCCTTCGCGGAGCACGGACACTGAGCACAATCCCTGTGGGGCCATCGTCACTGGCTACACCGACCAGCAGCCCGACATCATCTCCAACGGAAGCATTTTGTCCAACGAGGTAAGGCTGAAGCGAAAGGACCACCATCTCTCATCTCCTCCATCCGAAAGCCTCCTCTAGCCTGGCCCTTGTATCTATGGTGCACTGTGTATTTACTTTTAAGATATTAGCTTATTTGTATCTTTGTGGGGGGCGGGGATGTGGGGGTCACTTTTTCCTACCCCTCCTTGTGTAACCACTCACATGGTTTCTAATTCTCTGCACTCCACCCCTCCATATTTATTTTCCTTTCCTCTCCTGGTGCTTTGGCACCTTGGAGCTCCCGCTTTCCTCTCTTCCCATCTTTCCCTTAAAAAGCTGAACTCTCGGTGGGTCCTTTTCCTGCTCAGAAACCTGAGAGGAGAAGGGAAAATGCGCGGAGGGAGAGGGCTGTGGGGGAGGGGCTTGCTAGCACTGGCAAGGATCCTTTACTCTTTGCATCTGTCCCGGGAGTTAATAAAGTTTATTCTATTTTGCTTCGTGGTCGCTGCTTTCAGTCGCGTGTACAAGTAAGCTATAGACTGTTTAACTTTCCAAAGTGTCTAAACTCGAATGCATGTGTAAGTGAACAAGTTATCAGATCCTTATCCTCTGAACTCCGTTTGTAAAAAAGAAAAAGAAACAAACAAACAAACAAAACCTTCCATTCGGCTCTGGACAGCATTTACAGACGCCCTTGAAGCCTAACGCCCACACAGTGTGAATTTGAATGAAGTTGCTTTGGCACAGACCCCTGTGAGAGTAACGAAAAGCTTAAACAATTGTTGTCTTAAATCTATCTCTTGACTAATAATTACTTCCCTGCCACTGTTTCTTGATACACCCTGGCTGTTGGTTTTCTGCATCAAAGAATTTGGCTTGTCAATGCTGATTTATTTTTAAAAGATGGGGAAGTGGCAAAGTTGGAGTGGAGTGGGGAACAGAGTTGGTTTATGTAAAACAGAATTCTGACCTGAAAAGGTGTGTGGGTGGTGGAGCTTGGGAGAAGAAAACCGAGGGCCTTTGAAGGCAATATAACTGGGGAGTGGGAGGATGAACTCCTGTCTTGGTATTACTCCTGAGTCTTAGGTATTACTCACTGACTTTCATGACTATTTGTACAGCTCATTTGTATCTTAAGTACATTTTGAAAATAAACAACAAAATAATTCCATAAAATATCTAAACTTTTTGCTTATTGAGCGTGCTGTTTTTCTTGTGTCAACCAGTATGCACTTAAACACTTTTTTAGGGCACCAAAGGAAAAGACTGCCGAATTTAACTAGGTTGACCTTTTAGTGACAAAAGTTGATGAGCCCTAGCTATGGGGTCATTTGTATTCTCCCTTTAAAAAAAATAAACACTCTTAAGGTTCTCCAATATAGGTTTAAACCTTTACAGCTAAGTGAAAAAAATATGGGTTCATAAATTTGTGCATATCTTCCCTGCCCTTACCCAGCAATCACTAGGCTGAGGTCTTTGGAAAGCATCAAAATTTATAAACATATATAGTTACTTAAATTAGATGCAGTTCCACATTCAGAAACAGATTATAAATGAAACCCTTAGCATTCAAATGCTCTTGATTTATTTATTTTTTTTCCTAGACTAAACACCAGCGAGCAGAGCTCAGCTATCTAGTTGACAGACCTCGTCGAGTTAACAGGTATGGACTCTTTTATTTCCTTAGCTTGACGCACAAGCAATTTATTACCTAGTAAAAGTAGGAATTAGGTGTTTGATCAGGTGTCATACTTGATAATAAATGCTAAAATATATATAATATTTTAAATTAGGTTACAACATATACATACAGTTCCTCTATATTTTAAAAGATGTGTTAAATTTTTTCACAAGTTACAAAAATTTTTTGTGGGTTTACATTCCTACATGGATTCTGATAGGTTTCATAACTGTTCCATATAGATATATTTGTCTTATCAATATAATATAAACATGGGCTTAGTTCCGATCAGAAAAATACCAAAACATTTTTATGTCTTAATTATTCAAATTGACTGCTAAATGCTCAATTTTCAAAAAGTTAGTCTTGGATTATGAAAACTACTTTATGCAGAAACACATTCAACTATGAGGTCTATGAGTCTGCAGCACACATCTGTGACCATGTGGTGGCAGAAGAATGTTTTCTCTGCTTCTTCACCTTTTTCACTCTAATATTCGCATTTTTGTGCTTCTAGTTCTGCATTCCAGGAAGCGGACATAGTAAGCTCTAAGGATAGTGGTCATGGGGACAGTGAGCAGGGAGACAGTGACCATGATGCCACCAACCGCGGCCAGTCAGCTGGTAAGTGTCATCCGGAGATATTCTAAGTGCTGATTTTGTAGGTTTAAAAAAAAAAAAAATAAATGGAGAAAGGATGATGTCCTAGGTAGATTTCTAATTAGTTTAATATTGGCAACTCTGCAAGAAGATAGTGTCATCCTGTGTTGGTGATTGTATGATCTGAGTTTTGAAAAGATACAGAATTCTTTGGAGAGTTGAAGTTAGAAATTCACTGTGTAATAGATAAAAGTATGAATTACTCCATCCTGAGGTAATGCTCTTTAATGAAATTATACTGTATACAAAAAGCTATAGATCTCTAAGCTGGGTTCAGTCCTTAGCATTCGGTTAATTAGGTACTATTAGACTTATTTATGGATGAAGTAACTGAAGATAAATGAAATTGATAGACCTGCACAAGGTCACAGGGAAATAAAAAGATGATTGCAGACTAGAATCCAAATTTCATGCTTTCCAGAGCAATGCATTTTTTCATACCACAAAGCACTAAATGAAAGCAGGAGTGATAAATATAATCATGAATATCTTAAGAGGAGAGTTTCCAATCTTGAGTCTTTGGGCTTCAAGACACTAGTAAACATGGGATAATGTGTATTTTCTGGAGCATCCTAGGTTTCTTTGTAGTTTTGAAAGGGTTTATGACCCATTAGAAGTTGAATTCTGAGTGAATTTGTATGTGTACTGGTAGTCACTGATTCTAATTCCAATGATATATATTATATATGGTATATATTTTTTTTCATAGTTTTTCTAAGTTCAACCTGTAAGTTTTACAAGATCTCCTAACACGAAAAACTCCTACAAGAAATTGAAAACGTACCTTTAAATGAAAATTTCGGAAACTTCCAGTTTTTATTAGATTTCTTCTATGAAGGCATGCTTGCTGAATTTTTAACTTTTTCTTTATCATTTGTACTTACTTGACACTTGAGGAGATCAAAAGCCTAGTCAACTTTGGTAGGTTCTAAAAAAGACCATCTCTGGGTTCTACTCAGCTCACTCAATATTTGACCTTTATTGCCGGTAATGGCATTGCCATAGAGTGACAGGGAACTTACTTGCAAGGTATGATTCCTTGGATACCACACTTGGAGTAGCAGTGTTGATGTCCTGTGTCAAAGAGCAGCGTACACCCCATGGTATTCTGGCAGGAGAGTTTGCCACAAGCTTCTCCCTTGGCTAATGTGCCCTGTGTCTCTGGCTGCCCTAGCCTTGGGAAACCCAGGCAGGAGGAAGGAGTAAAGGCTGCTCAAGGGTCTCTTTATATTGCAGCAAGTCATTAATATGCAGACCTAATGAGACTTGAGAACTGCCAAGAATCCCCGGAGGTCCCTGCCCCTTGCGGGCCTTCATGCTAAGTGAACAGAGCATCTATTTAGTGTCTGGGAACCTGACAACAAACCAGATCTTGCCAGAAGTTTATATCTGAATACAAAGTCCCTTTCATTTTTGGCCTATATATGGCATATGATTTATTATTATCTTTCAAAAACTGTACATTTAGAATTGTTCATTGTAGTTCTTTTTTGGAGTTTCAATTTTAACCCACAGATTTTTAAAACTTTTAAGACAAAATGTTTGATTAAAAAAAATCCTGCTACATGTTTCTTTGGATGCATTTTCTTCCTTTCTCAGCAGCTCTCCTTTTGTTTCTTTCTGTAGCTCTCTAATCTCAACGAACATTTCAATTAGTTTAGTCCTTAGACATAATGAGCTATAATAGCCCAGCTAAAGAAACAGAAATGAGTAAGCAACTGCAGAAAGATCTATATTTGGAAGCTACATGGGATTATATACCTATCAGTGTGTCTTCCCAGTGGTGATTTTATTTCACAGGTACTGAGTGCTAAGGCTGTTTTGTTAAGATTTCTTTCAAATTAGTTGAAATGTCAAACCGTTTAAAGGAATATAGAAATGTTAAAATGTATACTAGCAAAACATTTTCCAAACTTAAGGCAGTTTTCATTTGGCTTTATCAAAAGAGTGAGATTTATTTCCTATTTCTAATGCTTGGATACATAAAGGTATTAGGGAATTTCTAATTCACTTATACATTTCATTAGTAGTTACACGGCAACCACAAACTACTAAGCAAAGTAATAGCTGTTTTAGTATTATAGTGAAGAACGTATGGTAAGAAATACTTGCACGTTTGATGTTGAATTATATTATCAGATTCAAGATGTTTCATCTTATTGTAAGAATGATATTAAGTGGCTTCTTCCTGAAGTATAAATCCCAATGCAGAGAATTAAAATGCCTTTGCTTAATTACTGACTTTTAAAATTCCATACTGATGTGGTATATTGTAAACCTTACAGCAAATAGGTAGGATATTTTAAAGAAGTTATGTCCACTTCAAGTAAATCTGCTTTACTTCTTTGTAAAGATGGCTAAAAAATTATGTTCCAGGTTTGCAAAATTAGATGGCAACATTCATAGCACATCATTTTCCATGTTTGGCATGCGAAATAATCTAATAAGCAAATCCCACCTAACAGTATTTTAGGGGGAAACATTAAGTTATCAATCAAGAAGGATAATATTGGAAAGATAAGCATTCTGCTTTCTCTCTCTCAGTTTGCGACTGATCTCAGGCTGAACTATACACGTGGTTCATCTTAGTGCTTCACCTGTTTAATCCCCCTCCATTTTCCCAGTTTCTCTTTCTATCTTTTCACAATTACTTGTCTGTGCATTTTCTTTATTCTGTTATGAGTAGTTTTAGTTTTTGCCCTTTCTTATTTTCCCCCTTTGTGCTCTTTCCCCTTTCTGAGCCACAGTTGCAGTCACCAATCTTGTTCACAGAAGGGCTTTAAACACCAAGGCAGCTGCACAGAGAATCACATAAGCTGTTTCAGTTTCCCACTGCACCTGGCTTCATATGTAAAATTCTTCGGCCTGATCACTGGTCTGAGGCACTTTTCTTTCTATAGCCTTGTCAAGGTGCTTTCCGTTTATTTCAGTGCACTATTGATGTATTGGTTACATATGGCAGAAGTCCAAGGAGATGTGGTAAATACATGCATAAACCTTCACAAGAGGAAAACCTGATTAATCATAGCTTAAAGAGCTAAAAGCAGACTTTACAGAAATATATTTTTGATCTTACTTATTAAATGCATTAGATTAAAGATATTTTCCAATTTAAGAATACACAGAACATTTTAACTGTATATTCTTAAAACAATTTCAATATTATGTGAGGTTTATACAAGATTTTTTAGTAAAGAGAAAGATTTCTTCCATTTGTTACATGTCTGTGTTATAAATAATACTAGATTTAATCATGATCCTATTTTGAATACCTCACTCTTCTAAGCAATTATGTTGAGGAGAATCTTGATAAGTGAATAAGTCACTTGTTACACTTTACTGAAAATTGTCAAATTTCTCCTGGAAATTTTTTTCAGTTATAGGGAAATTATCTTGTAAATATGACTGGTTCTTAGTTATTTATGAGATTTTTACCATGCATGGTAAAATTTGTCTATAAATTGAAAAAATAAAATTGCTTGAATTAGTATTTTCTAGATGAATTTACACGTTATTTACTAAAATTTATTCAATTTTTTGGTGAATCTCTGAGCTACGCCTTGATGGCATATACGAATTTGTAGTTGAAAAAAATATGTAAGACAAACTATTGGCAGAAAATGGGAAATGCCATAAACATTTTGAAAGATGAGTAGGGATATAATTTTGATATTTAATTTTTGTTTTTTATCAGTGAATTATATGGGTAAACATCTGTCTCTTAAAACATATTTTTAAAAAAGTGTACCAGTTGTTAAAATTAATATCTCTTAGTTTTTCATTATTATGTAGTTAATGGAAGACTGGAAAATTCAAAACATGAAGTGTGCTGTTATATCTATAAAGGTTTATCATACTTTGTTGAATGAAAAAGAAATATGCACATAATTTTTTATTATTGCTTCCATCAAAAACAAGCACCAATTCAATATAATTCTAATATTTTAAAAGTTAATTTATTCTCAATGGAAATATCTCCTGCCTCTGACTATAAGGGACAAGTTTAAAAATATGTATTTTAAAATTTGTCTAAATATATCTTTGCATAACAGGCAGTCTATCACGTCAGCTGTCATGCCTTGCAGAACAGATTATTTCTGAGAAGTGGAAAAAATAAATAACTGTAAAAAGCGATTACAAGTAAAGAATATAGGTTGAAAATTTTCTTAGATATTACCAAAATTTCACAAATAAAGTTTACCCTGCATTTTTCCTGCTGTATAATTCCACAGGTTTACAGTAAGGGTGTTTTAATGAGAAAAATAAAGTCAAGTTAAACTTGTTAACTGTTGAGTCTCCAAGTTGAGCCATTAAGGAATTGCATGAGCAATGTAAAAGATATGCATTTTAACCTGTCAGAGGCAATGTAACATCTGTCACCCCTGTGTATCAGGGAATCATTTCTCAGAAAATGACTTAGGTATAGCTCTACTTATTTGATAATTAAAGTAATATATTTAAAGATGCTAATGATAAGTACCAAGAGTAATACTAGTTATACAGTAGCTCCCTAAGGTGATAAATGGTAACATCACACATTTATTTGGTGTTCAAAATGTACATATAAATGAAAAAATCAATTTTCAGTTAATTTCTTTGTTATTATTTAAAATATACTGATTATGTTATAGTTTCCTTTTCATTTCTATGTCTGGCTTGTCCTCAAAAATAAGTAGGTCTACTTGTTTGATCAATAAAACTGATGAAACATTCAGGTACAATTTGAACCACCTTACTTTTCATTCTAGTTATGTTATTGCTGAGGGAATTCTACTCTAAAAAATCAATTGGTAAACTTATTAAAAACTTTGTAATTTCCCCTTCTACCACATGACATTGTTCTTCCAGCCAAAAACTTTTGTATTCACATGTTACATTTTTGTACATATTCTCAACTCGAGCGAACGTTATTACATCCTCTAAAGGAATTTTTAATAAGCCTGTAATAATTTAGAGAGAAATCCTACCTGCTTATAAGAGGATAAAATGAGCACAACTGAGTATAAACTACCCATAAAAATAATTTCTACCAAAGTACTTTGTGATATAGTCAAGCAATATCCAATGTTAAAATACTAGTTTATTAAATTGTTCTTTGTAGGATCATGATATTCAGAATTAGATGATTATTTAGACATAGATGCAAAAATGATGTGAAATACTGTATATGTTCTTATTTGGCATATTTAAAATGATATGTATCAGGCATGTAAAAAAGTTGTATTAATTACATTAGTACCAATCTTTACCAGGATCCAATGATACAGTTCTATCATCACTTCCCTAATTCAATATCTTACATTTATTTTAAAAATAACAAAATAATTGCTCCCTGTAATTTTACGTTTAAAGATGAGTTCTTCTACAAAATAAAAGCTTTTTGGGGGGGCTGGGGATTTAGCTCAGGGGGCTGGGGATTTAGCTTAGGGGGCTGGGGATTTAGCTCAGCGGCAAAGCGCCTGCCTGGCAAG